GTTGCCAAAAAAAAGAAATAATGCATGTGAAATTCAAATATTAGTAAGTATTCAAAATAGAATAATGAAAGTAAAAATACAGAATAGGGTGATAACCCTGGTAGGTATGATTAGTGAGTGAGATAAAGATTATTAAGGTGAGTTCATCTAAAATTAACTGATATACAGCAAAATTAACATATATTCAATCTATAAGAGTCATATATAAAAATAAGAAACATACATTTTAAGTGAGAAGAAGAGAGAGAGAGGACGGGGGAGTGAAGAAAGTTGGGTATATTCTTCTGCGCTCTGCCCCTGCCGTATCTCCAACTGAGGCCAGCATGATTCACACAGAGAAAGAGTAAAGCAAATGAGTGATCACTGTGCTTTCTCCTTTCCGGTTACTGAAGGTCGCTGTTTAACACTCCCTCACCATCCCCCTACCATCCCCTTTGCCTTAAACTTATTAGGCTCTTTTCTTTGTATTTCCTGGTAACAGGTGAATGTAGGTGAGGGTATTGGTGACAAGGACTAGAGCTAATAAGGCTACCACATTGATTTATAATTATAACCCTCTGAGTATTATCATCAGGAGAATAGATGAAAAAGCCCATTTGATTTAGTGCAGTGTCCTTCAAACCGCTGGTCATAAAATCATTTTAGAAGGCGAGAACAGACATTTTAAAAATGGAATACAATAAAACATAATGGAAAATATCAGTGGACATTGCACAGATCCTTAGCAAGAACTGGGTACAACTTAATAAACACCACAACCAGTTGCCATTAGTGCAATGAGGGAAAGAGGATGTGACCAAGTGCATCTACACATTGGCTGGTGGGGAGTTATTTTTATCTTTTGCTTATTGCTGTCTAATTTGGTATTATAGTATTTACAACATATGGCTTAACAGTTTACAGTTTATTTTATATTGACATAATTTGCAGTTGGTTGTAAAATAAAGGGCAGGGGAGTTTTAATTTTGCTTTTAGCAAAAGTGTTAAGACTTTCAACTGAGTTTTGTCTGTAAACATTTAGTAGCTCAATTAATAGTAGTTATTACTTATAATGTGTTGTTTTAGTTTCCTATTGTTACCATAACAAACAACTACAGACTTATGGCTTAAAAGAACATAAGTTGATTATTTGACAGTTCTGTAGGTTAGAAGTCTGATATGGCTCTCACTGAGCTAAAGTGAAGGTACTGGCAGGACTGCGTTCCTTTTTCTGGAGGTTCTTGGGGAGAATCCATTTCCTCACCTCTTCTAACTTCTAGAGGCTGACCACACTGCCTTAATTCATGGACCTCTGCCTCCATCTTCAAAGCCAGCAACATCAACTTTCTTTGGCCCATCTGCAGTAGTCACATCTGCCTTTGAAGTCCAGAAAGGTTCTCCTCTTTTAATGACTCATATGATTTCACAGGGACCACTCAGATAATCTAAAATAATCTTCCCATCTCAAGGCCCTTAACCTTAATCACATCTGCAAAATCCTTTTTGCCATGTAAGGTAACATTATTCCCAGGTTCTGGGGATTAGAATACAGAATCTGTTTACCACAGTTGTTTCTAGTTACTTTAAGAAAAAATGGTAAGTAGGATGTGTATGGATATAGTAAAACGGTGAAAGTGGTACTCAGATGACTGAAGTTTAGGAAACACCTCACCTGAAAGATGGCCCAGTTCCAGGAAGGAGTAGAGCACAGGCCAGAGAGGCGGTAGGCCCGCCCAGACTCCAGACTCCTCTGCTGTCGCCAGCTTGCTCCATCCTGGATTCTAGTCACTTTTGTTCGGTTTCCTCATCCTAAAGAAAGGGATTGCACCAGATAGGCAGCCTCCAAAGGACCCTCCAGCTCCAATTTACTAATTCTGTGTAAATGAATACTTATGTTATAAATTTAAATGTCAAGGCCAAGCATAGTGCAAAATATCTCTCAACATCATAAATGATTCAAAAGGTGAAAACTTTATATCTTAAATGCTGCCTTCCCTACCTGTAGTTGTCTAGTCCAAAATGTCAAGCCGGGCTGATTATTGAAATGATCGCAGTCATACTCATTAGGGGTCGTCTTGCCAGTGTTAGGTATCTTTCTCCTTTTTCTATTTGTTTGGTTGCTTGTTTTTAATAAATATCATTTGAAAGTGGTGAGTGCTCATTTTCAGTTGCACCCATCAAACAGCTGATTCTTTGAAGACATTTCCTGATCTTAGCCAAATAGGAAGTGCTGGAAAGGCAGAGAGTGGAGAGTTGATGGAACAGGACCCCAAAACTAGGTAGACATTTAAAAGGATTGGTGAGTGATTCTCAACACGTTCTTCAAGTGCACACTTACATTAAATTGATTTAACTTAAGGGAAGAAATACCTCGGCTGCTCCTGAGATAAAAGGCTGTTTCAATTCTAATAATTCGTAATGACTTTTTGTTCTTTTAATTAAAACTACATACCAAAGAGGTTTTTTATTCCTTTCTCCAGTAAGAAAAATTTCAAGCTTCGACATTCTTTTCCCTAAAATAAAATCAATTTTGTCCTGAAATATAATTTTAAAGACTGAAAGTCTCTCTGTTTTCTTTGATTACCTCATAAATAACAAGAGTTTCATATCAGCCCTCCTGTCTCTTTCTCCTCCACCCTTTCCCGCCTTTCATATTGTGCCAGTCACAGGTGGATGCTCAATATTACCCCACAGCACAAGATAAATAAGCTTGGAAGGTTTCCTAGCAACATATTGTTCTGGGAACCTGCTCTGTTTCCCTGAACAAGATGAAGCCAAACATCCTAGAATCTCAGCCAGATGGAAAAGGATTAGCTTATTAAGTGTATTTAATGCATTTTTAAAAAAAATTTTCACTTTGAAATGAAGAAAACTAAAGGAAATTGAGGCTGTTATCAAAGTCAAGAAAAATAATGTTTTGTTAGCACATGATCATTATGTATTTCCCTTGTTTATCTAATGATCTGTGAGAGTGCACCGTTGGCAGGTGGTGCTTTTCTTTCTATTGCTCTCTAGTTGGTCACAGTGTGCTGCTGAAGGTCTCTGGAGATGGAGTAATAAAGGATTAGTGTTTCTCATTACATTATTCAACAGTGGCTTTGTAATTCAGTTACACCCTGGAAAATGTCCTCACCTCTTGTTTGACTGGAGAGACACTCTCCCATCAGCCTGATGAATATTCTCATAATGTGGTTGTCAAATGATTTACACTGTCTATTGGGTCTTGGACTGAGTTTGTGAAACTTCACCATTGTGGTCAGAAGCAGATAACTGTAGTACTTCACAGCACTCCTAGATGGGAAGAACAAAGTGATTAGAATAAGATGGGAATGACACCTGATGTCTGTTTTTTATTTAACAAATTCTCTGGCCAGATTCCTGAGAATTGAAACTGTCCTCATCCCAGAAAACTGTAAGATAATTTTATATTCATGCTGGGTGCTTTCCATTCTCTTTTGCTTTATCTCCCACACATATACATGTTTCCTAAATACTATCATTTGAACTCTACAGAGACAATCTGTGGAGGGCACAGTATAGACCAAATACTTTGCTAGGTATTACAGTGGAGATTGAGGACACCAACGTCTCATCCTTGCTTCCACCCAGCCTCAAGAAGTCAGCAAAATAGGGTGTTTATAATCTTTTTTTTTTTAAGCTGTTTTTCTTCATTTTAAGTCACTTACTGAAGGACCTAAATATTAAGGAAAGATACTGATGTTTAAAGGAGTTACATAATTTTGACTGTCCAAGGAAAGATTAAAAGTAGACTTAACATGTCATATGGAACAGAATAGGTTATAATACATTATTTTGATTGAATACTTTTTAAAAAAGCAATTCAAAAAATTTCCATGAACCAAGCATTGTTTTAGATTCTTTACCTATCTTATATAATTTGATTCTCCTGACCATCATTATGAGGGAGAAATTTGTTTACCTGCCGTTTTACAGGTGAAGAAGCTGAAGCTGAGAGAGGTTAAATACCTATCTGCTGAGGGATTACACATTTAATAAGCAAGTAGTGGGCATTCAGACCTTGATCTGCCTAGTGCCAAATTCTATGATCTTTATACTGTGCTTTGCTTATTTGTTTATTTTTAGAATTCTAAGATTCTAGTCTTTTTTCAGAAAAGAATAAACTACTGTTTTTTGAGGCTGACATAATTTTGGCAAGAAATGGATAAGTTGTTTAGATGATTTTCTATTATCTCATACAGAAAAATGATCTATATTTCTTTGGGTTTTCGGTGTTGAGCTTTAGAATCTCTTTTTGGTATATTAATTCTATTTAAAAGTATTTCTTCAGTTTTTTATTTCTATAAAATAACCTTTATTTTCAACATAGGCTGTGACTGAATTGTGCTTAAAGAAAGATAGTTAAAATTAATAACACTAAGGGCCGGCCCAGTGGCGCACTGGAGAGTGCGCCGCTTGGGAGTGTGGCGGTGCTCCCGCCGAGGGTTCGGATCCCATGTGGAGACCAGTTCCTGCTCACTGGCTGAGCGCGGTGCAGGTGCAACACCGAGGGTTGCGATTCCGTTGCCGGTCCCCGGTACAGGCGCGACACCGAGGGTTGCGATCCCGTTACCCGTCAGTAAAAAAGACAAAAAGGAAAAAAAAATTAATAACACTAATAAATACATTAACAACAAAAAGTTATGATATCAGCAATATTGTAAATCAGAGATGGAGAAACTATTGCCTGTTTCATTAAGTGAAGTTTTGTTGGTACATGGCTATGCTCACTCATTTATGTATCACCCATGGCAACTTTTTTGCAATAACAGAGTTCAGTGGTTACAACCTAGACTGTATGGCCCGCAAAGCCTAAAATACACGTTATCTGGACCTTTACAGGGAAAGTTTACTAAGCCCTGCTATAGAAGCTAGGTTTCCCCCCTAACTGTGAATTATACATTCTCTCTTAGAATGCCAGAAACTTAATTGGGAAACACATCAGAAAATTTTTTTCCTAAGTGACGTTCTTGTCTAACATGCTTTTCCTCTCATCCCTGCAGGTACCAACAAAGAAGCTGAAGAAATATGAGAAAGAATATCAGACAATGCGAGAGAGCCAACTGCAGCAGGAAGACCCAATGGATAGATACAAGGTATGGGGGACACTGCACCTGTCAGAGCAAAGTACCTTTTTTACCCTAAAGCAACACTTGTGCGAGTTCAATTTCCTCTGTTCCTCCTTGATTGATTTAGATGCTGTCTGGTCATGCTAAACTGCCCAGGTATGTTTTCATTTCAGGAGACTCCCAAGTAGCCAACCATAATATTTCTTTTCTTTCAGTTTGTATATTTGTAGGTAACCAGCTGTTGCATTTATACTGGGAATCTTCATAAGAAGCTGAGAGAAAGAGAGGGAAAAGGAATGAGAGAAAGTGGCTTTCTACTTTCAAAAATGAGGAAAAAAGGAAAATGGCAAAGTCCTGTTTTAGCTGTGCATGGTCACATCCACAAAGACCTGTAGAAGGTGAACTGTTCCAAGACTGGCACAAGGATGTTTCAAACTTACCTCTGTCTGTAGCAAATGTTAAAAATACAAACTCACTCGGAAGGAAAAATAAAAACCACAAAGGTATATTGAGCACAGTGATGGTGTTTGTTGCAACATTTATTTCCACAGACAAATTTATGAATAACTGTGACATTCAACTACAGCATGCAGTTGAATCAAAATGATTTCCGTTTAATGTCTTAGTTAACTGTGGTATTTTTTTAAAATTGGGCCATTCACAAAGATAAATCTTCAATGATAATTAGCAACACTGTTCCCAGGATGCAGTGTTAGGAAATACTGAGTTCCAGCTTGTTTTTTCTAAGTGAAATATTATTGTCTTTCTCCTCAACATGTTTTAATTCTTCAGACTCATACAGATGCATAATAGTTCCCTCCCTCTCCACATCAGTACTAAGATAAGAGAATATTGTATTTTTGGCACTGAGCACCAGTGCTGAAATGTCCTGCCAAGAAGAGTACTGTGATGGCATTATTAACTGATTCACCCACAGTGGGATGACTTACACTTTTGGAACTAGATTTGCCTTTGTGTGGTCAGAGAGCTGGACATGGGCAGCACAGTCACACAGCACACCTTGTCTCCGTTGCTGAATTGAGTAGAAGGGATGTGTACAGAGGAGCATGGTAGAAGGAGTATGTGGATTTTGTAGTCAGACCTAAGTTTAATCCTAACTCTCTGAAAAAAAGAGCTCAGGATTTGGAATCCAAAGTGGGGATTTTAATCCCCAAGCCACTGTTCAGCATCTTGGACTAGTTATTAAACCTCTTCCTCAACGATAAAATGGGTAGTGTACACGATTCCTTGATGGGTTGTTGTGAGGGTGAAGGATGTTGTATGTTAAGTATTCAACACATAGCTGGTGTTCAATAAATGGTTGTTATTAGTTTTATGAAGCCTCTGACTGTGAGTTACCTAAGTATTCCTAGAATAACATCACCTTATGTGGTCTGCCGCTCCAGTCCCTCACTGATCTTTCTCATATTTCTCCCTAGTATTGCTACCCAATAAGCTAACATCAGTATGTTTCTTCCTTTGTTTATAGAACTGGCTCAAAAACTGATAATAAAACCCCACATACTGCTATGGTAGATAACTGTTAAAACATAAGGTGCTCATAGGTAAGGTTGGAAGCTAATTCCTATCACCACTGTCCTCCCAGTAAAACCAATTTTAATGTAGGTCATATAGCATGCTACTTTAGAAAAATTTGAAGGTAGTAATTATAAAATTTTATTAAGGACCCAAAATGAAACCCTTCTACCTCTTGTATCATTCTAATTTTCTTATTGCCACCATCATTGTGAATAAAATCTGTGAAGAGTGCTTTAAAATAAAAGAGAGGGAAATGAAAGACCACACTTGTACATTTAAGTCAGCCTGCGGGGCTGGCTGGTTAGCTCAATCGGTTAGTGTGGTGCTGATAACACCAAGGTCCAGGGTTCGATCCCTGTACTGGCTAGCTGCCAAAATAAAATAAAATAAATAAAATCAGGCTGGGACTGAACTCATTATTGTGTTTTAAGTCACTTTTTGTCAAAGCAGGTATCTATAAATAAATAGTAAGATGTGTGTTAATTTTTAAAAAAGTATTAGTAACATGTAGAATACCAATGTGTATAGTTTTTATTGAGGGGCCAACGTAGAATTAAACTTCTTTTTTGTTTTGGAAGCAGATATTACTTTTAAGTTTGGGTGTTGTGGCCTCTTATTTGCACATATCAGATCCCCTCTATACCTATTTCTTTTGGATTATTGTAATAGCTTGTCAATATACTATCTAACTAATATCTCTGTGCCCTTTTAATAATGTCTAGGCATTTGTCCTGGTGATACACTTGGCAAAATCAAAGTCATATTCCCCAAATTATAATTTTCAAGGTAGCAATTGATAATATAGTTTCCAACCATCAGCAGATTTGATCTTTCAGATGATCAATATCTAGTTGAAGAAGCTAATTATAATTAAAGTAGCAAAGTGTCTTATTAAATAACTTTTAGCATCTTCTAAATTTAATCCTGTCAAGATAAGATCTATGTTCTAGGAATGAGCACTTTATAATTGATAGATCTTGGACTGAGAATCAGTTAATGTAAACTCGTAAGAATAATTTGGGAAGATCTTTGAGGGCACTGAGTGAGCACTTGTAGCAATTCAGTAACAACCCCTCCTCAACCATTAGAATCTATTCTGCTTAAAATGACATGTCTGCCTGCTGGCTGTACGGCAAGGGAGTTAGGAAGATTGTGGGAACTAAAAGTCCAGAAGTGTCATACAATAAAATATTCTAAAGTATTTCAGTTTGATGCTATTTCTCTTTGACATGGTAGCGTACATAAAAGGACCATTGCAGGGAAGCCAGAGGCAGGATTAAAGATCCAACAAGGTAGAGGTGGCTCTCAGCAGTCACACTTCTTGCTATATCTGTCTCAACATGTGTTTTGTGTCTATTTTTATGACATATGCAGATATCTACATTCTTGGATTATATCACTGTGCTTACCTGTATCCAACACTTAAATCTCAACCACAAAGAAAGGGAAGAAATAGTGTTGGTATAAATTAAAATTTAAAAATTCTAAGCATGATGAAATGTTCTGGAATTAGGTAGTGGTGATGGTTGCACAACTTTATGAGTATACTAAAACTACTGAATTGTACATTTTGACAGTATGAATTTTATGGTAGGTAAATTATATATATAAAAAAAAAAAAATCAAGCAACCAAACGGAATGTTCCAAGAGGATTGGCATCTAGCCCACAATCTCTTTCAGGAACCCCAGGTTACACCAGAGGTACCTGTATAGAAGCCATACTTGCAGATGGGAGTCCTGTCTGTCAAAATTGGATCTAACTAATGACTATTGATTTTATGTATAGCCATATTTATAGGTAAAAGGCCAACACATGTGGAAGGTACATTCATTTTTAGTGATGCCCATTAACTTCCAGGTAGAATATATGTTGTACATGTATACACACACAGAGACATATACACATACATACATAGGTGATACACGCACATACACGCTGCCTATGCTACCTGGTCTTTCAATTTTGTGCTTGAAATTCAGTGAGCATCATAATGACCATTTTACAGCCTTAGTGCTCCTTCTGTTTATCTTCATGATTAGATTCCAAGAGATGGAAACTTTATTGGAAGAAGAATAAAGAATATTTATTCTAAACCTTTTTTATTGTCCTTCTTAACTTGGACCTGGCCAAATTTGTGTAATATTCTTTATCTGATATTTTGGTTTATAAACTTATTTATTTCAAATGAGGTGAAATGTCTGATAAAGATTTGCCTGTAGAAATACATCAAGTACATTTTAATTTTTGTACAGGTTCCCAGAAAACACAGTTTAATGGACATGTGTAGCTGTTTTAGTATATTTTTAAAATTAGTAACCAGGCCCCTAATAAGCAGTTACCAGTTTCAGAAATTAAAATATTTTCTATCTTAAGAAGATGAATTGTTTCCATTGTGGAGAAAGTTAGTTTTCTAGTGATGTAATCAATTGACAGTACTTTTTAGACAACTGCAGCCTTCATCTACCTTTAGAGAATGATATGCTTTTCTTGTTTAATTAAAGAGCTACTTGCACAAATGTGGGTTAAGCCTTAAAAAACACTGCTAATTAATTAATTCAGTGACTCTCCCAAAGCATAATGAAGGTTATCTGTTCCAGATGAGAAAATCCTAGAAAGAATCTGGAATGCTTAAACTTCCTTGGGTTTGGGACACAGATAGTGTTGTAAATACATAATTTCTAACTGGAGTATTTTATCTGTGTTCAGTAAAATCAAATTTAGAATGTTTAACTTTTGGGGCCGGCCCGGTGGCGCACTGTCGCTTGAGAGCGCGGTGGCATTCCCGCCGAGGGT